TCTGGTAGACATGAAGAGAATTGGTCGTGGTGGTGCGTGTCAGCGTTGGGCAGTCAATGACCGAGTCATCCCAGTCACGGTCATTGACTGACAGCTGGTCACTGATGGGTCAATGACCGAGCTACAGTCAATGACCGGGCGGTTTCGTGATCCCACGCAAGCGAAATGCCGGGGTCGAGCGCTTGGAGGGACAGACCCAATGGAATGGCAGGGCCTGATGGCGCCCTGCGATATGGTTGGCTGCTAAGGTGGGACCCGGAAAACCGGCCAGTCACGGTCATGTCTGACTCGGTCATTGACCAGTCATTGACCAGAGTGACCAGTCACTGACCAGTCACTGACCGGCACAACGCTGGTGCGTGTAGCAGTGTGCGAAGAGATAGCGGCGACTGCGACGCGAACAATCTCTTGAGATAGTCAGCCGGACCTGGCGAGATTCGGAACGGGGATGTCCGTACCCAGTTTAGGCTCTTTCTTGGGGATCACATGTCGTCAGGGCATTGCCCCGACGCGCCCCAGGCGATGTTTTGGTAGCCCAATGTTGCATGCAAAGCCGATGGTGCAACCCGAAGGCTCTGCACCATGCCACCAATTGAAGCAACGCGGGCGGTCGGAAGAGTTTGCGACGCGCGAAATGCACAGCCAAGTCAGCGCGGCTAGGCGATACTTTGAACAGATGTATGTAACCGCTTCGGCAACGAGTAATTTCGGTAAAGTTCCTAGTGTGGTCGTTCCCGTTTGTCATCCTCCAAGTCGGCGCCGCAAGCGCACGACTCAGCGTTGTGACGCAAATACTTGGCCTCCCCTTAATAGCGTGCAACGACTGGCTCTTCTGAGATTGATAAATACCGCCGTGTGTCTGGCAATGGTGGGCTTTGAGATCCAGAGACAAGGCACATAGGCCATACAGAAGCAATTTCCCGATGCTTTGAATATCGGAGACAGATAAGGGCGACCCTGACAATGATATCGGGATGAGCCACAATAATACAGACATTGGGCTCGATGATGAGACGACTTTTGGATACCGCTTAGCTCACCACGGTGAGCGAGAACAGCAAGACCAGGGCGCACCTAAAGGCCTCGCATCCTCCGATGCCTTCCATCTGCCAGAGCATTCCTATCTCACTCTCATCCGAGCAGCTAGACCGCTTGCTGGCTGCTGCACGTTGACATTTCCCGGCGTTTCCCGTCCCCCAGAGACTGAAAGGGGCCAGCAGAGTTCAACAGCTGTAAACGCACCGCCGTTCTCGCGAGATATCCTTGCCAAAAGGTTCGTGCACTCGATGATTATAAGATGAAACCTTGAACACAACTTAAATGTGCGTCCCGGGGAGTATCCTATAAATAGGATGTGTGGAACTGTGTCTCGATGCTGATGGGTAGGGCGATGAGATGTATAAAGGAAGAGGTACAGGTCATAGCAACCATGAGCGCGATAACAAACGCAGTTGAGGAAATAGGTAGAAATCAAGGGCGAATCGGCCTGCGATCTGGCGCGCCAGCGGAGGACAGAGCCCAGTGCACAGGTTGTAGGTATGGCTGAATGCGATGGCAATAAATGTCAGCTAAGACGAGTGCGGGCTACAGACGATGATTATGATATGGCTTGCGAGGGCGCATATGTTTGCATGTACCTGAATACACCGATTGAATGTTAATAAATGACGATGAGGAAGGGCCTATAGCCGAGCGAAAGCAAGCTCAAAGAATTGGCGTTGAGGGCGGGTGGGCGCTGGCACCGCAGCACACGCGTCCCGCCCAAGGCGCGTCTGATCCCTTGTGGCGACGCTCCGGGTGACGCCGGCACGTGACAGGGCGGGGCACAGGGTTCGAGATCAACCGCCCGTGGTAAGCGCGCTTTTTTCAGTTTTCCGCCAGTTTTACTGTGTTTTAGACCATTTTGGCTGGTTTTGCACCAGTTTCTCCTTAGTTTGCATCGGCGTAGAATCAAGGAATAACTGGGCCTTGTTTAGCCGCTTGTGCCTGAGTTTCCTCCAGAAAAAAACTGCGCTTACCACCCTGTGCATGGTCCTGAGCTCTCAAGCTGCGGTACTCATGTTCCTCCTGTGAGGCTCCGAGGCCTTGAGGCCAGCTGGGTAGGCATACGGCAGCGAGAGGACGTACGGTGAAGCAGAGGGAGGTCTTGGCGACAAGTTAATTTGTCAGTGGGGCGCGAGCATGCCGGGGTATCATGCCGCTAAGAAGGACAGCTGTGCGTAGCTATTCGAATCCCGTGCTAATATGCTGCTGATGTCACGCGTTCTTTGTCGTCTCCGCCTCTTCGAAACCCGTCCGTGCTGTTATGGCCACCGTGTGTATACTCCCTTTGGTGCCCTGCTTGCGAGTCGCTAGCGATTGAAAGCTGGAGTCTGTGGATATGCATGGCCCTTACATTTCCGTGCTCAAAATCAACGTCGACGACGTTCCACCCGGAACGACTCCCACATTTGCTCATCCGACGCCGTTACATGTGCGGTTATCCTAGACGGGACGAAAGCCTTTTCGCCACCAGCGCTGAAGCGGAGAAGACTGTACTCATCGTGGTTACGACGATTAACAGCAGACGCGATGACCTCAGGACCAGGGTTACCCTGCGTATCATTGGTCAAAAGACTGCCCTCGATGAGTGAGTGTCGCTCACCGTGCTGCCCACCCCAGTCTTCGAAGTCCATGACCATATGCCAGTAACGACAAGACTTCCTAACTAGCGGATTTCGCTCACATCTAACGAGCAGACCGCAAGCTGCGAACACCTCCTCTTCGCCCACGTCTGTTTCGCAGCAAATAGTCAGTCCCTTTTGGCCGCCGGCTTTTCCAGGATCACGACGGGTGCCTTCGGTCAGATTCGATTGCTATATTTCTTACCTCCATGTATCAGATATGTCCATTTTCCGGTGAGGCAATATCATCTCGTTTTCCCCGCTTCACGACCCACATGTTAGCATACCTCTACGTGAGCGGACTCCTTCGGGTCTACAACCCTCGGCACAAAGCACGATCTCTGCTCTGAGTATGCTAGCTTCCACTCTACAGTGGGCATTTGGCTTTGGTTTGAGCATAGTTTTTGATCGGCAAACCTGACACAGGACTACGCAAAGCCACATACAATCGAAGCTGGCCGTCCGCTCGCAGATCGATAGAACCGCATTCATAGATACTGCGGAGGATGCATGTGCGTGGACGCACGTACTTGGAATCCGAAGTCGACAGTGCCTGTATGCACAGCCTCGTGTGCATCGAAGGCGGCACTAACGCGCATGCTATCTGGTTCCGCGTCCGCCAATTGCTCGCCTGCAAAGCATTTGTCTTGCCGTTTGGACGTCGATTGCAATAGACCGCATCCGGCCAGATGAGGTGCGCTTCCCCACTTACTGCTCTGCACGTTCGCTATGCTCGATGTACCAGTCGAGCACTGGAGACCGGTGTCGAAAATGAAGGCACTGCATCTGGCCTGGCAGGGCGGCGGCCGCGTGCCGCAATTTTGCGAAGTCCGGAGCCAGGAAGCACCCAAGTATCGCGCATGTTGTTCATTTAATTTAGGAAGGCTGTGCTCATTGGTCCTCGTAGCACTGTGCACTCCCCGGCCTGGTCGAGATGTCGCTTGCTGTACACTCTACAACATCCTGGTTGTTCTCCCCCCGTACACGTCTTCGATGGCATCTGACGACCTTACAACTGTCGTCCCAAATCGGAGCTTACTGCATGCGCCCCGAGTCTGGCCAACATCTTACAAATGCAGCGGAGATTCGCGAGGGGACCGTGCGTCCAGGCATACCTAAATTTTAACAACATCTTCTCAGGCTGTGTTTCCGCGAGGTCTTGCTGGGGTACTTTTATCCTGCGACGCCTATTGGGGAGGCGGTGTTCGGGAAGTAGCGAGTGTATCAATATAAGCAGCATTCCTCTTGCTTCCTGCGTGTCACTCCTCTGGCTCATCTCTGGGTCCTCGACCCCTTGCCTCGCCTTGCCTCTTCCCGTGGAGCGTTACTCACATCCGAATAAGCGTTAATGTCCGACACGTTAGGAGCACGCCTGCCTGCAGAACTCATCCAGACAATCCTGGTGCGACTTGATGAGAGGTCAAGGCGTTCATGGTACGGGAAGCCACTGAAGTGAGGATTGACCACTTGCAGCTTGGTCTGCCGCCACTGGGCCAAGTTCATCAGGCCCATCCTATTCGAAGATCTCACTCTCAGCAACGCGGAGGATGTGTCCCAGCTGTTCGCGTTCCTCGGCACCCCCAAATTCCTAGGCAGTCCCCTCAGACGCTGCATTCGCCGTCTGCATCTCGTCGAAGACTAGACGTCTTCCAGCATATCATGGATCCACCAATACTTTCTTATGGGATTTAACCAGCTCCGTTTAGAGTGCATTACTTGTACAGTACGGGGCACCCCATCAGACAACCAGCCAGAGCTTCGACAGACTTTAAGGCTGTCGTCGCTGCCGTTCGCTCTGCTTCCCAGAACACTCCCTGTGTCTACGACCCATTTGGCCAACGTTAACCTCCGTGGCCTACGGCTATCATCCCCTCACATTCTGATACGCTTTGACATGCAACTGCAGGCCAGCATGCTCTCTCTTAATGACATTGTTTTCCAGAGGGGAGCCCAAACCCTCGACGTATCCCACAGCCACGCTCTTCTTCCCGAACTTTGTCGCACGACGAGCACCGTTATTATCAATTTAACGACTGCGTCAGGGAGCCGTCGAGCATTCCATTCTGGGTCACACTATCCAATGCCCTTCTCTCCAGCCGGCGCCGCCCGCCATCAGTGGACGATAACATTGACCAGGCAGTGGCAAAGCATCTTCATCTGTCTACATCGCTTCATAATTACGGCGTCACACAGCTGACGGTCGAGTTTCGTCATTTTATGCCTGGCATATATGTGAGTGTCAATGTCCTTCGGGTGGACGAGTGTCATGGAGGTATGGTAATAACGCTAAAATAGATCTACCGGTACTCCATTCTTGATATTCCGCCACACAACTGGTTCAAGCTCGCCAGCGTAAGAATGGTACAGGATATAACTGGCAGCGACACCCGTGCACGAATCGATGGGGTCACCTTCACATATCCAGACAGTGGTGACATTAACATGTCTTCGGTACTCGCACAACTAGAGGCCGCGCTCATCGACATGAACGGCCCTGATGTTCCCAGACTGTGCGTCAGGTCTATAACCGAGGAGACCGGCAGGGCTCTAATCGACGGGATACTGGGAAAACGTTTCTTAACGCAACTTTGTATGTATCCAACAAAGGTCTCCATCCAGATCGCCAACCCCTGGACCGCTGGAGAGATCTTCTCCGCACCGACATGCATCAGCTGGGACGACGAGACCATCCCGCTCACCACCGCTCAGCGCACAGAATGGGTGCTGCGCAAAAAAATACCCACAATCCGATACGAGGGACGCCTACTTACAGGAGCTGCTGCACGCCGCCCGCAAGGCCAAGGCGACGACGAGCGCGAGTGCTGCGACGGAACAATGTGCTGTACGGGGGACTACAGGACTCCGCGGCAGGGCAGATGCAGGAGGTTGCGGAGGACGAGGGCGAGGACGAGAAGAAGGAAGAGAAGGACGAGGAGTGAGAAGGCGAAGAAGAATTGGGCAATGATCGGGACTAGGAGGCGCAATGCTGAGGACAGGGTAGGCTGGCATGCGTCGTCGTCGAAGGATCATGGATGGGAGTGGGCGTCGGGCTGGGTTATTGGGAGGAAAGGTGGAGGTCTTCACTGGGCGAATAGAGCGAGCGGCGGGCAGTGGCAAGCAGACAGCGATATATCTTTGGACGATCAGTGTACGTGATCTCTGGTGCGGACAGTTTCTTATCCTTGCAAATTGCTGTAATTTCCCGATTTCTGCAGTGTCGTACATGTCTCGGTTGTGGTTTCTCGTACACCCTTTTCTGGCTCGGTATTATCAGGCTCACAAGCATCTATTATCTGGCCGTGGAAGAGTTTGAGTAGTTACATATTCGCTGGCCGACATGGTTATGTACTTGGTTCATTACATTGCGATGTGTTACGATTGACGACACTCTATCGCCCGGGTCGCAAATACATCAAATCTGCGTAGATTCGGCGGTGAGTGTCTTATACTCTGGTAGTCGTGGATTTGGAAAACTCACCAGCTGTAGGACGGTGTGTTGGGAAGACGATGACGTGAACGCCCCGAGACCCCGGCTGGTGCCCGTCTGCAGCAAGCTAAACGCGACAACTGGCGCAGCTGGAACGTACAACTCAGGGAGTGGGGCGGGATCTTTCCCAAACAATTTATGCGAGATCTTCGTACGCGATTGAGGTTGCATGACGATGAACAATCTGTGAGGCTTCTTATGGTGTGCGAGGGCGGAGTTGAGATTCGCTCGGTCAAATGTCTTCGCGAGGGAGTCAGGTAGTCGCGGTGCCTACGGCCGGCATTTGCATGGGCTCGAACAGGAGGACATCTGCATTCGTAATGATGAGGAGCATGTCCCCAGACTGCGTCTTAGGCGGATACAGTATCTAGGTCAGCTGGGTGTGTGGAAAGATGAAGTGAGAGCTCACCTCGACAACATCGCTCTACCGGCCATCATGTATCCAAGGTTCAAACCCCCGAATAACTGTCCGTCGCCCGGACTGACTGCCAGTGGAGGCTCCACAGCTGGCCGCGACACGTGCAGAAAAACGATTACGACATCGTACAAGCTGCCGAACGAGAGCTGGAGGGT